CTATGAGTTTCCCTCTCAGGACCACTTTTGCTGCATCCCATATGAGTTGGTACGGTGTATTTTCATTTTCATTTGTCTCCAGATATGCTTTGATTTCTCCTTTAATTTTGTCAATGATCCATTGGTGGTTTAGTGGCATGTTGTTGAGTCTCCACAGCTTTGTCACTTTCCCGGTTTTTTCCTTGTAGTTGATTTCTAACTTCATGGCATTATGGTCTGAAAAGATGCTTGTTATGATTTCAATCTTCTTAAATTTATATAAGCGTGCCTTGTTTCCCAACATATGGTCTATTCTTGAGAACGTTCCATGAGCACTTGAGAAGAATGTGTAATCTGCTGTGTTTGGATGGAGAGCTCTGTATATGTCTATTAAGTCCATCTCATGTAGTTTTTCATTTAGGTCCATTATTTCCTTACTTATTTTCTGTGTGGATGATCTTTCCATTGATGAGAGTGGGGCGTTAAGATCCTCTACTATTATTGTGTTGTTGTTAATATCTCCTTTTAGGTTTGTTAATAGTGGCTTTATGTACCTTGGTGCTCCTGTATTGGGTGCACATATATTTAAAAGTGATATGTCTTCTTGGTGGAGTGTCCCTTTTATCATTATATATTGCCCCTCTTTCTCTCTCATTACCTGTTTTATCTTGAAGTCAACTTTGTCTGATATAAGGCAACACCTGCTTTCTTTTGTTTGCCATTAGCTTGGAGTATTGTCGCTCATCCTTTCACTCTGAGCCTGTGTTTGTCTTTAGAGCTGATATGTGTTTCCTGGAGGCAGCATATTGTTGGGTCTTGTTTTTTAATCCATCCCAACACTCTGTGTCTTTTGATTGGAGAATTCAGTCCATTTACATTTAGGGTAATTATTGATATATGGGGGCCTGTTGTTGTTATTTTATCACTCTTTTTCCAGTTCATTTGCATTTTTTTTTTTTTCTCATCCCATGTGTTTCGGACTACCAATGCAGTTTGGTAGTTCTGTATGGGGGCTCTCTTAGTTTTCTCTTTCTTTATCATGTGTGATTCTGCTCTGATTGTTTGGTTAGTGGTTACCATGAGGTTTGTATAAAAAATCTCGTGGATATGATAGTTCATTTTTTGATGGCCTCTTATTTCCTTAGACTAAGTCAATTCGATCCCTTTCCTCTTCCCCTTCTAAGTTATTGTTGTCACATC